AATATATATACACTGGCATTGCCATAGAAAACTTTTTACAACCTTCAACTATACAACAATAGTGAAAAGCACACACCAGCAGCTACTCGATCAAAAGTGGCGGTCCAGTCATGCCGTTAGCCCCCCTATAATACCAAGCCACGTACTCCTGGGTGTGGTAGTAATCCTCCTCCACGTTCACAACAAAACCGAGTAATATCTCACATAGGCTGCTCTGTCTCCACAGGGATGTACGCTAGACGACCGCTGGATATGATGCGGTATCCCAAAAAGAGGTGGTGTCCTCGGCATCCTACGGCTGGGGGTCTGAAATGTTTCGGTTTATACAACCGTGAGATAAATCTCAGTGAGTTCAACCCCTAAACCTAGGCTAGGCTAGCATGCAATCTCCTGACCAGAAAATAAATAAGTGAAACCATAGTGTAACAACAATCAAATAATCCTCCGACCCTGCAGATTAGGCACTTCAATATATAATAATCACGGCACGTACGTGGCACATATTATCACACGTACGCCAATCACATGCTCATGCACCGAGGCTCACACACTCGCATGCCAGTCCATGCATGTTCATGCATGCAAATGTCGTCGACATGTCACGTGTATTTCCCGGCCCACTGGCCCATACTGGCACACTGGCAATCGCCCAATTTATTATTTATTACGACTCGAGTCATCAATTTTTCACGGCCCGGTGCGTCTAGCCTGCTTTAAAGTGCATGAGGCGCAGCAACCGATCTGGCCCAGTGTCTCTAGCCTGCTTCAAAGTGCATGAGGCGCAACACTGTTCTCCTTGCGAACCAGAGCCTGCTTCAAAGTGCATGAGGATGGTCGCCTTCCGGACGTATCGGGCATCGTCCTGCTTCAAAGTACATGAGGACGGTATCGACTCGAAGGTCATGACCCAAAGGTCCTTAGGTGATCACACAACTCATTATTATCTGAACCCAGCGTATAACGCTTCAGGGTATTTTAGGTGATCACATGCTCATGGCAGACACGCATTCTCGCACAATTTCATCACATGCCTCACTCTTGGCATACGCAATGCGTGCCCATGTTATGCAATGCAATGCACCACGAGCACCAATATAATTCAGACACCCAATGACACAATACATGCTTAATTGGCCCAATTAATACCCTGTGGCCTAACGTGCGATTCACAAATCAGTAAATCATTGTAAACCAAACAATGGCCAATCGCACTCCATAAACTCAGCCACACCACATACGACATAGCAGTACGAAATCAACCACAATTACGTACAATTGACGTACAATCAGTCAACCCGGATATACCCGGTAATTTTCCAACGGGTTCCTAAATTGGTCATTTAATCCAATTAATCTCTCCAAATAATTCTCATTAATCCACTAAATTTCCCAATGATAATTTCTACCAATCCGTCCTCAACCCAGTCCGAAATACACACTGATACTATCTAAGCCAGTCCAAATTGTACCGATAATACATAAACCAGTCCAGAAAAACGCACTAACAGTCCTAATCCGGGTTTAGGAATTTTACTCACTTAATCCAAGATCACGACGACGAGGAACGGCGACCGATCACTGGTGAACAGTGAAACCGGCAGCGAATTCCCGGCAACGGTGTACGGACGGGGGTGAACAGCGACCCCGTACGGACGGAGTGAACAGTACCACACGTACAGACACTTGTACAAACGGCTGGGAACGGTGGCCGGCGAGGTGCCGGTGACGGCCAAGACGTGCCGTACGGTCTGGATGAATAGCGACCGTACGGACATGAACAGTAACCGTACGGTCACTGTACGGACGGTCTGAACGGCGACGTATGGACATGCTGAACGGCCGGGTGTCGACGGAACGGCGATCGGAGCTCCGGCGAAGCTCCGGCGGTACTATTCACAGAACGGAAAATGAGAAAAAGAGAGAAAAAGAGGGGGAAAGGGAGAGAGAAATGGATGGAACCGAGGCTGAGCTGTGGCTGGGGACCAAGAGGGTCGACGGTGAGGCACGGCGGTCGGCGGCGTGCTCCGGCGAAAGAGAAAATGAGGGAAAATTTGAGAGAAAATGAGAGAAAGTGTGGGAAAAATGGAGAGAAAATCTGCTGAAGGCTGGTCTGGTCGTGGAGGGTGAGTGAGGAGAGAGAAATTTCAGTCCAACTTAGTCAAATTATAGGGCTAGGGTGCCATGTGTCAAAATTTGACAAAAAGGACTAAAATGCCCTTAATCAAATGGTTCCTATGCATTCTTATCCAAAAAGGGAGGGGCAAAAGGGTCAATGGCCCTAATAATTGAGCTGATAACCTCTGGTAATTATCCTAAAATTTTCCCAAAAAAATTCGGACCCGAAAATAGCCCAGGGGCAAAACCGTCATTTTTCCGGTCCCGGGGCGAAATTCCAATTTTTGCACATACGCGTTCCATATGTGCGTGGCCAACATAATATGGCGTCGGATTCGCGAAATTCACTTTTTAAGCCCTCGAAAATCGACTGCAAAGTTCCGGGAATAAAATAATATTATTTTTCCAATTTTTGTCGAAATTCCAATTTTTGTCCATAACGACTCCCGGTATGCGTGGCCACCCAAAAATGGTGTCGGCCTCGAAAAATAACATCAAACGGCCTCCGAATCCGGCCTCGGTGCCCACAGGGGCAAAACCGTAATTTCTTACCCCCGGACCGAAATTCCAATTTTCACTTGTACTAACCCCAAACGTGTATGGCCAGCGTAATATGACGTCAGATTCCCCAAAATAATCTCTTAAGCCTTCGAAAATCGACCTCGAAATCCGGGTCCAATTCCGTGAACAAAGCTCGCTAAACTTTCAATTTCAAGGTCTCTCACTAACGGGCGGCTGTTTAGGGTTTACGCGTATCGACCTAGAGTTATTCGAGTCATGACGGTCCCGATCACTCAAAGAATGAGAGGAATTATCGTTAGTTCCAAAGGTCACGATCGTTCGGTTCAAGCTCGGGGCCGGTTGGCCACGTGCACTCTCGGACTTGCGGACTCACTCGCAATCCGTTTGTACATCGTTGGCCTTGGCCAGACCAAACCCGTCACTTTTCCTAAGATCGGCCCACGTTGGCCCAAAATATTCTCTCATCGTTTCTCAAGATCGGTACTCGGTTCGTGATCGGGCCCTTGGTCCACGTACCATTTTCCTAGTTAGCCGTACCCTTTTGGTTAGTATCCCGAGAGTGATCAGCTCTGGGCGAGACTTACTAAAATGAAATGCGAAATATTGTCAATTTTATTTATCCCAGAATTTCGTCGAAATTCGGGCTGTTACAGTCGCGACCCTCGCCCAGAGCAAGCGAGGGTTGGTCAGGCATTGCCAGTGTACAGCAAGGGTTGGTCGGCCACCCTCTCCGGCCTTAACTTCAAATTCCCAAAAAAAAAAACAAAGAAAAGGAAAAAAAGATAAAAATGTCCACGTCAGCGCCACGTGGCCGCCCCGCATCCACGTCAGCGATTTCCGACCAAAATTGGCCGGATGAACTCAATTGGCAAGAAATGAAAAGGTTTAGGACTATATTGATAAAGGTGAAAGGTTTAAGACTGAATTGGCAAAAGCGCAATATATTTAAGACTTTTTGGATAATTTTCCTGGTTTAGAACTGTTAATGCATTTTCTTGCCATTTATTTCTTTTTGAGGTTTTGAAATACATTAATGTTATTTTTTTATATTTTAATTGCATGTAGATCCATACTTTTATTACCCAAAGACATTGGCTCCAATGAGAGAAAATTATCAACTATACGAGATATGTTAGAAATTACACAGAAAAATCATTAACCGTGTGGGTAAATACTTCAAAATAATAGAGTGATGTTTATTTCATAGGCAAATACTTGCAAGTAGAGTGACATGTCTTTCATAACTGAAAATGTTACCTACTCCAAAGAGATTTACTTAACCTAAATATTTTTCTTTAGATATTTAGATTGAATATGGAAAAAACTAGGAAAAGTACCAAAGAATCATAAACATATTGCATTGGTACCAATTCAATCCATCTGGCCAATTTAGGCCGAAAATTATTGACGTGGACACCGGTTATGTTGGTATGGCCGACGCTGACGTGGAAAATTTTAATAATATTTTCAATTTTACTAATAATTTTTTTAAAAATTTTCTCTTTGTTTTTCCTTTTTTCCTTTCTTTTTTTTTTCCTTCTCTTTCCTTTGGCTTGTGGTTGGTACTCGGCCATGGCCGGCGATCAACCACAGGCAAGGGTGTTGCAGCCCCCGCCAAAGGCCACAAGGGCTACCCTCGCCTAGGCTGTGAGGGTCGAGCCCTTGCCAAATCCGACGAGGGCTGTAACGCCCTCACCTGTGGCCAATTGCTGGCCATTGCCAAGTTCCAGCCACTAGCCATAGGAAAGAGAAGCAAAAAAAGAAAAAGAAAAAAGGATTAAATTTTTAAAAAATTATGAAAAAATAAGAAATTATTAAAATATTATAAAAAAATATCCATATCAGCACCACCAATGTCATGTAGGACGACCGACGTCCACTTCAGCGATTTCCAGCTTAAATTGGGCGGATGGACTGAATTGGTATCAATGTGAAAATATTTAAGACTAAATTGATCCAATTAAAAGGTTAAAGGCTGAATTAGTACCAATGCAATCAGTTTATGACTTTTTTTGTACTTTTTCCAAAAAAACTACTACCTAGGTGAAGAAGTTGCTAAACTACTAATGGGGTGAATGATATTTTTTGTCTATGAAAGTGTCTACAAGGGCCAACCACTGAACTGTGTCGGCCCAAGCGTGTGCCTAGCCCTTTTTTTTTTTGAACTCTAGAAATAAAATTTTCGAAAAAAAAGTACAAGAGTTAAATTTAAAAATTGCGATATTGAAGAAAATTGCATGAAATTGAAACATAATATCTGTTTATGCAATATCAAGAACAATACATGAAACATTTAAAGTATGCGACAATAGTACTATAAAAGTATTTAAAATTTGATATTAGGAACAATACGAACAGAGTCCTAAGCCCGTCCAATTTGATCCTCGTAACCAAGGCAGCGGACACAACAAAAAAGCCAGGTGGAATGTTATGTAATATTCAATGAATTTCTGCTTCATGGCCGAGACCCTGCTGGCTTGAAGAAGGAATCTCCGTGGGAAGTGGCCAAAGGGGGAAAAGCAAGTACTTCTGAAGGCGTTTCTGCTCTTTGCAGATCCGGGACACCACTCGGTATACCTCCATCAAGAGTCTCGGGAATCGTCCAGTGAAGTAAATGTCCAAACCATCAGCATCCGATCCGAGGATCTCCTGCCAGAATCATCAAAACAACAACAAATATGAGCTTTGTATGCATGCAGCTACACATATCACCACAGGTCTAAAGAAAGAGCGAGAGAGTACCTCAACTTCATCTGAAGCTTCTGTGTGGCTAAACTTGTTTCGCACGGCTCTCAATAAGTCTCTGACACGGCTACAGTCATATTTCCTATGTTTGCGTAGGTCAGCCATAACTTCAGGCTCTATTTTGTCACCCCAATTCCCATCAAAAACCAGTTGCGCAGTGTTCTCCAATGCTTTCAAAAGATCTGAATTGGGTGCCCTAGCTTCCAATTCCACTTTATCGCTGACTTCACGAAAAAAGGAAAGTCTCACCTCTGAACTCCAAAAAAATGGATGGTGAAGCACCTCCGATGCCTTTGGCCTGGTAGTCATTAAAAGCAATTTACGATTGACCCAACATGCTCAAAGAAATTAATTACACGAACAACACTGACATAGACCGACTTCCCGAGTTTAAAAGCATCACAAGTTTGGCATTCGTGCAATCTCTAAAACAATTAAAATTGCATTAGCTCAACGAAAGAGAAACCAAAATGTCTGAAAACTTCGATACAATTCACAACTCATGAGTCCGGGATGAAGGCCGTTGTTTGACTACAATAAGAACCCATGAATTATTTACTCCTAACTACCTTAAATTAGCAATTTAATCAATTAGTTCCTAGTGTTTTTCTTTCATTGTAAGCATCATATGCTAAACCCCCTGAATCTTCATATGAAATTCTCTTCGGTGTATGTATAACAAATCGTCTCTTAATACCGTGCCAGGAATGATTGGAATTTATATGTTCGTGGGTGGTTAAAAAACTTATAGCCCTAATACTAGGTTTCTGACAATGATCATCTTCAATTGGAATATCGCTATTGTCAAATGCATTTAGGCTATCACATGATCAACCTTTTCTCCGGCTTCTATTGTCAATTGCCAAAAGAAATGAGTGGATCTACACATTTTTTGCTCATCAAGTAGAGCCCCACCAGCAGGACAAATATTTAAGGCATGCTACACGAATTTCAGGCCACCTTTAATACTCACGAGATTAAGTGATGCAGGAAAATGGAAATCAGTCAATAAAAAATGGTTACAAAATCTCTCAAATGGGTAGTGATGCAAATTAAGGATGATAGTACACTCACCTCAAATTGGGATCTTCGTTTAGTAAACGCGAAAGCAGATCATGGGCCTCTGGTATGAATTTTACCGAGGACAGGTCCATTTGGTTTTTAGCAATATTGGAGTCACGAAATAGAATTTCACCAAATGGGTGTCCTCCACAAGTGATGCAAAAGAACAAGACACAACCTAAACTAAACAAATCCATTGCTGAGGTTTGGCGTCCACCTTTAAGTTGTTCAGGTGCTCGCCATCCGGAGCTTCCACAACCTGCAACAACGACATCGAAGATCAACAAAAGAGCCCTCATCACTTGGACCATGTATAGATGGATATCATAGATTCACCAATCAACGAAGGGAGACCATGGGAAAGACTGTCAAATCTCCACAAACTATAACACAACATAAGAAGTAATACAAAGCAACCTGACTTTCAACATAACAGTCTTCTTTAAAAGAAGAGATATATTGCTCTAACAAGTAAAATTATAGGTCTAAAATTTTTAGCCAGGTATCTAAAGATGATTACCACTGTATAGATTCAGATTATGCACGGATCAATCTTGAGGAAAAGAAGATCAAAGGTCTGGATAAAGCTATCATGAGCACTTACCAATGGCACGATATCCCATGGAAGATCTATCTTTAGGAAGGCATGTGCTAATGCCCATATCAGATAGCTTAGCACCAAGCGATCGACTATTTGTAATCAAGACATTTTGAGGCTTTAAGTCCTGATGAATTATTTTTAAGTAATGCAAATGCTCGAGTCCCGATACCACATCCCTGTATCATAATATTAATAAGACATCATGACTTAAATCGACAATGTATATAGAACCAAATGGCATTGGATACATAAAATAAGTCATATCCTATTGGAAATTAAAGAATTTCTCTAACACACGAAGACCTAGTAAGGATGCCAGAAGTACACTGGAGAAAAAAACTGTTAAAGGTTCTTTACGTAAACTATGCAATGAAAAACCCGGTGCAGAATTTGATCGCCACATCAATCACATCAACATTTACTGATTTGAGTGCACAAGGATTCTGTAGCATTCACGAATCAAAAAGAAAGAAGGTATACTGATTTTACCAAGATGCAAAAATCAATGGATTTATCACTACGTAATTGATAATACGTAATTGATTTCCATGAGAAGAAAAATAAGAGTTTAGCCTTGATAGGGAGATTGAACTTATCCTATAACTCTAGAAAGGAAGCTGCGAGGTTCAAAACTCAGCCCATAATGTTGATTGCATTAGGCTAACCACAGTTAAGGTAGCGGCCTAATAATTCCCTGTATCATGCATCACTTTGAAGTTTTTGCAGGAAAGCTATAAAGCCCTTCGACTGGCACCTGATACCCACTTGAGCCAGCAAAGAAGAGTACATGAAGGTAGTGATCTCTATGAGATGCTTCTGAGTCATGTAAAACATATGTAAGCAAGCTCATTACAAATACAAATACAAATACGTGACAGTTGATTTTAGGAGTGCGGCAATAAGCAAGATATTGCAATTATCTCTCTAATCATAACCTTTTGGCACGTCAAAACATAAAAATTACCTCATTAGTTTCAGTAAACAAGATGAGGGATAACCATCTTCCCGCCACAAGTCATCACCCTCCATCATATTCCTAACACATTTGATTTTATAATCATCCATTGATGCTGAATCATCAGAGACAGAGTTATTTGAAGAATTGGAATGTACTTGAATTAAATCATCTAAGCTGCAATCACAGCGCTCTAGTGCAAGATACACGAAATCCTCGTCGCACTGCTCTCCAAAATACCGGACAATATTTTCATGTTTGTCAGATGCTTTCAACTTCTGAATCTCGTTGATGGCAACAGCATGATGAGCCCCGACAAGTTGTTTCACGGCAACATGTCGATCTTCATATTTGCCCTCATAAACAATGGTCCCATTACTTCCCTTAGCAATTTCAATCCTTGACACGGAGATTTTACCAATTTTACGCCATCCAGTGCCACCATCAGGAAAGCTATTGAGCTTCATCAATTCGCCATCATTGCTCCTGATATAGTCAATCCCACCGTCATTTCCTGAAAAGACATATTCCACCTTTTTGTCAAAAACTCTATAATTGATTTTCTTCCCATGATCTCTCGAGAAAGCGCCTACATTTACGCGGAAAGACAGAATCGTGAGGCTTGATATGAGACATGCTAATCCAGATAATATCTCAAGTTAGTTAATTAAGGGGTAATGTGGTAACTAAGCGATACCCCTCTAGTAGGTGTATGATTTGAGGACGTACCATGCAGAAGCTACTGCTCTTGTAATGACCTAGTTCGACAAAGGCATGAAGTAATTGTCGGGATGAGAGACAACTTAGTATGAGATGGGTCAGAGCGAATAATATCTCGAGTGAATTAATCTAGATGTCACCCATAAGGTAAACATAGATGAAATTATGGTACATGAGATTGAAATTAAATGATCATGTAGGTAACTTCCTGATGTCTTTCTTTTTTTTGAGGTCTTACGAGTGTCGGGAGAAGAGTGATCTTCGGGTTTCTTGGTCTTAGAAGGAAAAAGGTTGTTAACTTTCACCCTTTTGATGACGGAGCTGAAGTCCTCTTTGAATATGTCTGCTTGGTATAAAAACCCCTAGTCGGTGAATTCGCTGGTAACTCTGGGATGGGGTCGAAACTCTTTGATGACATGCCGATTAAAAATATCGTCCGTAATTTGATGCCAACATTCAAAGGGACTGTCGCTGGTCGAGACATAGTGGTTTCTCTTCCAGAATGGATACTCCATTGAATAGAAAATAGGCATAGGGATGCCCTGGGTAAGCCCAAATTGCTGCGCGCAATACTGCGGGGAGTACATTTCTAATCCAGGCTTGAGTTTCCCTTTCCCCGACAACTATAGAGGAAGGTCCACAGGAGTAAGAACAAAGAACCAGAATTTCTGTGTTCTGTTGAAGAAGACGAAGTTGGAGACATTGACAAAGTCGAGGACACGAAGAGGGCAGAAGTCAGTTGTGTCAAGCATATGGTCATAAAACCAGCTCTGAAAGTACCGAAAAGAAGAAACGCCTGCAGGAATGGCTTTGAACCGGTAACTCAACAGTCCACACTCTCTGGTATCTGGAAAATAAGGTTTTCAGCTTTAATATTTCTAGAGCGAGGCATGGCATGCTTGACGTCCGAAAACAAAGAAGGAAAATACGACTTTGCCCATGTCTGAAGGACCTAGAAACGACCGAAGAAGACGCCGAATTTATCCTCATAGATGGACGTAGCTGCGTGATTTAGGTCCCTGTAGAGAACAGCCAGTATGAGAAGGCCCAAAGCGAAAAGCTTGCCCTCAGCAAGGTAAAAGACCAGGTTTGCTAAATCCTTGGAAACTCTCGGCGACAAGTGAAAAAGGACATATTTGGAAAGCCAAAAGAACAAAAAGGCTATATGCTTCTGGGTAACTTAACTAGAGTCCTTGTAAAAACAACTCATAAAGGAATCATAAGAGATATCCTCCATGCGTTCGAAGTAGGTACATTTGGCTGAATCGGAAGAAGCCAAATCTTCACCTCATGGACTAAGCCTAGTAATAGCGAGTAAGTCTAGAAGGGTGATCGACATCAGCCTAGAACGGAAGAAGAAACAATTGGCTGATCGAGACCAGAAGCTGGTTAGGCCACCCAGAAGACCCAAATCAAGGTTCCGGTTAAAACAGCAAAATTGGAGAACCTTATCAATTTGGGTGGATTCCCAAGTTGATTCCTTTTGGGACCTTATCCTTAAATATCATTGGAAGAACAAAGGGTCAAAGAAAGGAAAAGCTCTGAATCGTTCGGAAGGGGTGTCCACCCAATTTCAATAATGTGTTTCCACTGGAAAGGAAGTTTCTCTTCCTTGTATCGAGGAAAGCAACCTTGGAGGGACAAAGGAATTCAAGGGTTGATAAAGCAAGGGCATGGTGGGGTTCAGTTCCAGAGTCATTAAGCAAAGAGGGAGATTATTGCTGGTATCCTCATCTTCCAGGAGTTGATCAAAGCGAGATGGAAATGCTGAAGCCGTATACGTTGGAGATTGATTCTTAGGCGAATTGCAACTTCAAGGAGCAGAAGAAGATCCAAATCCAGGAAAAGGTAAATGTTCTCGAGAGGTTCCTGGTGAAGAAGAGAGGTAAAAAATACTATCTAGAAAAGGAGTAGATCCCGAGTAACGGCTCTATAGGCTGGCAGGTGATAGTCAAATTAGGCAAATCCCACCAATCGGGCCACGTGTCCAAATTAGATTGGAGAAGCTAAAGCGATTGTCTGGATAATGGATCAGCTATACCGGCTTTCTACAAGGATTGTGAAAGGGTGACTTATGACATTCTGGAACATTTCAAAGAATTAAAAAATCTTTTAATTCTTTTAAAAGGGACATATGTTGAAACTCAAAAATGACCTAAAGTTTAGCATAAATATTGGGGCTGATTCATCGACAAAGAATTAAGTAATGTGGTCAAATCAGGGAGCGCCCATTGCAAGATCGGCGTCGGACAATTAATGATGCAATTGATGAAAGGGAGATTAAGGCAATTGTCGATGTATAACAATGATTGGTAAACCACGTCTGAAGAAAGTCAAATCGAGAGGAAGCGGGAATATTACAATTGCTTGTGGATAAGAATATGCAATTAAAGATCGTGAGAGCAGAGCCGAGTATCTTGGAGGCAATTGAAGTTCGTGACTTAGAAGACAACCACTTGTTGAAGGTACACTTTGTACATGGCTATATAAGGCCGAGTAGAATAAATTGTAAAGCATTTGCAATCAACAACACTTATCAAAAGTTTCTGCAGTTTAATTCATAGATTATTTATCCATACTAGCAATTCTTTATTCTTTTAGTTAGCTTTCGTAGTTTGTCCACATCCATTGTTTCATGTTCGTCACAGAACCCAATTTACTTTAAAAAATCAAAGCATCAACATTTGGTAAAAGGTCGACCATTTTCGGCGAAACAGAATAAATGAGGCTGATGACGTTTGTCAGTGCTTGTGGACTATATTCTTAAGGATCGTTTGTGCTTACTATAGCAAGAGGAGCAATAGCTAATGTGTAAGATTTTCTATTTGGCCCAAAAAAGTTGGTCAAAAATCTAACCAGTTCCAACAATACAGCATAGCTTGAAATAATACCTTAACCGCCTATCCTTATGGTCTGGCAGCTTTCTAGCCACGACCCCTTTCAGTGTTCTACATTTCAAGGTTGAACTCATACTTTATCTTATAGAACAACTCAGATTTGACAATCTCAATGTAGAGAGCATACCTTCGTATTTGCGATCAACACCCTTAGAGGAAGAATGTTCGGTATTATCTGGTTTACTAACCTCCACCTGTGACAAAACTTGTGTAAGCATGTATTCAGTGCATCAAATAAGATTTCTACCATGTGTCAAACGGTTATAGAGGTTGATGCTTAGATTCAAACTGACTGAACGTGAAAAGAGACCAAACGAGTTTTGAGATTTCATTGACAGTATTGATCAGAGTATGGCCTTGGATGAGTAGCTCGTCAAACAAGTCTGAATTACAAGAGAACAGTTTGGACAATGGAATACCTTCTATGAGCCACTCATCCCAATTTATTCACAGCACTTTGGATTAAGAATTAACTTGAACATGAAGGAAGCACCACATCAGAAATTTAAGATATCGGTACAGCTGTCAGCACTTTTTCGCACCACATCATAGATTTAAGATACCAATACAACGTTCAACGCTCTGGATTGAGTACGTAACAACACCTCTGGAAAGCATGATTAAACTAACTGGCACAAATAAAAGTTCTTTGCTTGTATATCGCAGAAAAATACTGAAAAAAGTTATAAAAAAAAAAAAGAATGCCCTTTTGAAAGAGGAAAAATTATAACAGACCAAAAAAAAAATTATTCTGAATGCGTTAATGGGAAACATGACACATGCTTATCAAGTGCCATCCTCCATCTATGCGGTCCAGTAGGAAAATCAGTAGTGTTGGTTACCTCGGATGAGCTTTCCGCTTCAATTAAACAGCTAATTGATTCGGGCAGCTGGATCGATGAAAGACAGTTGCGGGCACTGATTCTAAGATTTTTCAAATGACCGACGGAGGCAGGAATTTCTTGAACAGCAGTTCCATCTATAAGAATCTCTTCCAAGGACATGAGGAAACCCAGCTCTTCAGGCAACTTACTGAGTTTAGTGCAACACCTCAAGTTCAGTGAAACCAAGCGCCGCAGACTTTTTACTGATGAACCGATTTCAACCAATTGATCACACTTTTCAAGAATCAATCTCTCTAGACATTTGTAATGAGATAAGTCTGGAGTTCTGATCAAGTCAACACAACCGGTGAGGTTCAAAACTTTCAAATTCCCGGCTTTCTGTCAAAAGGTAGGATAACAAAAGAGTTAATTTTTCCGCAACAATTTGAAAAATGAAATTAAAAATAATATACTTCTCTACCTCGATTTCACTCCAACCATTCCATTTTTCATGAACCTTGCTCCAAGAAAGATCTAGAATAACCAACTTTTCCAAATCCAAATTTTGAGCACCAAGATTCCGAGGACAACCTTGCCAATGGAGCCATCTTAAACTTGACAGAAGCCCCTTAAAATTTCCTTCGAGGTTCGCCTGATCCAATCGAAGGAATCTTATGTTCGACATATTCTCAAAATGTGTTGGTCCAAAACTCCATTCTGACCCACTGTCAAATTTGAGAAGAACACCTTCAACGCGTTTCGTTCCCTACACGTGGAATGTAGGATTACCAATGGGACTAAGTTCGTATCCAGAAAATTGGGCGTATCTAAATATACTAAGTTCGGTCTCATCATTCTTATAGACCAATTTGGAGATGACCGACATCAGTTTTGAAATTTGAAATTTAACAATTCATGAATAGTCTTAAAATATGTGGGAGTTTTAAAATTGTATATGTCGAGTTAATTGTGATTGTTTTCCCTGAAGGGTAGAGTGCCGCACCCCCCCCCCTAAAATGTGAATTCCCGTGCACAAAGGAAATCGGACCTGGGATTTACCTCCTTTCTCTGTAGTACCTCCAATGCATCCCTGTGATTCCATAACCTACTTTGCTCGTATAATTTGCCCCCACTTTCTTGAGAAACAATTTCTCTACCGAGATATTTAAGTTGATTGTGCATCCACAATATATTATCTTCTCCAATTTTAATCAATGACATCAATTGAAGAACTTCAAGATCTTTTGTTGGATATAAGCCACGATCTCTCCACATGTATGTTGTCGTACTCTTATCATATCCATCGAAAAGACAAGCTATATCAAGAAATATTTGTTTCTGATCGAAATCTAATGCATCATAACTTGTCTTCAACTTACTTCCAATACTCTTGATGTGACCTTTTTTCCACACCAACAACCAATCATCCCACATTTCTTCTTTTTGTCCATGTATTGATAAAGTCGAACCCATAACCTCGAGAGCCAATGGAAGACCTTCAGCTATCATCACAAATTCTCTAGACTTTTCCATTTTCTTAATTGGAGGACAATCTCTTTTGAAAGCATGCTTGCTGAATAGTTGAAGAGACATTTGAAAATCCAAACCACCAACTTCATAAGTCATTTTTACTCCAAATTCGTGTAGGACAATTGCGTTTCTTGTTGTTATAAGTATCCGACTTCCTGGACCGAAGCAACCTTGCCTCCCCAAAAGTGCAGTTAATTGACTCTTTTCATCAACATCATCAAGAAGAATAAGAACTTTCTTATGTGAAAATCTCTCTTCTATTGTCTTTATTCCCTCCTCTGTACAATGGATCCATGGATGTGCTTGTTTTGAGAGGTCTGAGATTAGTAAAGACTGTAACCACAGAATTCCATTCTGATGTGAAGATTCTCTAACATCAGCAAGGAAACAATAGTTAGCAAAGTCCCCAGAAAGTTTGTTGTAGACTATTTTGGCAAGAGTAGTTTTTCCGATGCCACCCATTCCGTGGATTCCCACGATCTTTGTATCATCAGTGTCGGTGCCTATCATCCCCAAAACTTCTTTGACACTGTCGTTGACCCCAAGCAAGAAGTCACTAACCACCAAATACGCCTTCTTCAGCTTACTTAAAACCATGGTGACTACCCCTTTAACTAGTTCTCCTCCGGACCTAACGAAAAAATGACGAGAAAGGCCAAGGCAAAGTGGAAAGTTAGCTGAAATCTATGCAATAGGAATTGATAGCAGTCAATGGAAGCCAGGAGATGCAACAAGAACTACGGCAACTACAAAAGGAACATACCACATTGCATAGATAGAGTAAATTTATGGACATGCTAGGCAGATGCTCAAACGGTGTGCAGCATTCGAACAGTTACACAACCGTCAAAGTACAGTATATGATCACTATATCTTGATAATTAGAAGAAAAGAGGCTGATGATATTTACCATATTTCTAATGTGTTAATAAGCTTCTCCTTCTCAAAATAGCTTTACCATTAGCATGTAGTCGCTAGGGTGTAGTTCATACTCCCTATCAACAGGAAGACACAGGGTCTTGCTCCCTGATGAGCGAACGGGGTCCGAGGGGCCATCTCGGCAGGTCATGAATAGCTATTGGGTATATATAATTTCTTTATCTTATAATTGAGGATTGTAATAGAGAGGTGGGAGGTGCTAAGTATAATAGAATTCTTTGCTAGATGTAGCTCTAGTTTAAGGGTGAACCAGGATAAACTTTGTGTCTCGATTTCTCTTTCTCGATTTTACTCTTTATTTCGTTGTGTTTGAGTATTTAATCTAACAATAGTACACGTCTTAAGTGTTATGAATAATAAATAAAAGATCCATTAACTTTCAGCATACAACATAAGTTAATTTTGACTAACATTAATATGCACTCTCATTACATAAATACGCAAACAAATTATTTCATATTTCGTGTCATAAATATTAAATGTCAGATTAGATTGAGGACACACTACGCAAACAAAGGGAACCAGCGTAGCTACAATTTTTCCACGTTAAAAAAAAAAAAGAGGAAATTTTCAACAGAAAAGCCTTTGTACTTGAATTTCATGGTCTCCTGTATCAGGCATTAATCGAGGGTGGAAGATAATGAGCTACCTGTTAGCCACGTCTTGTCTGTTCCATCCCTTTAACCCTCCAACCTCTTTGAGAGCAGCTCTCCACTTGCGGATGGTCTCATCGTCCACTCGCTTCTTGTTTTCGTGCACAAGCAAGGCCTCACCATAACGTCCAGTTTGGTTTTGAACCTCGGATGGTTCGACATCGTAGAAAATGGGCATGATTACCTGTTCCTTCCTCTTCCAACAGTCCACCATCTGGGCCAACTCCTTCAGACACCATCTGCTAGAAGCATAACTTATAGAGAAGATGGGTATGAAGATCTTCGATTGCTCCATTGCTCTGAGCAGATTTGGGCCGATCTCTTCACCGGCGCGGAGATCTTCGTCATCCTTGTATGTACGGACTCCTACATCTTTGAGACGGGTATAGAGATGATCGGTGAAGTCCGCGCGCGTGTCCGGTCCTCTGAAGCTCAAAAACACTTCATAATCGTACCCTTCCATCTCGACCAGTTGCAGAGAAAATGAAGCACCAGAGCCGCACCAGTTCGGCAAAAGCAGATTGCTGAGCTCTACAAAGCCGAAAGTTTGTGGAATTGTAGTAATGTTACTGCTAAGCAAAACGGGTACAACCGATTATAATTTATCTAGTTGATCTCAAGACAAAATTTCTCAGGACCACAAATGTCAAGGAAGGAAGTTTCGGGGAACCTCACATGTGTCTGGAAAGGCAGAGTGCATAGCACATGCAGCACCTTTTTTTTCCTCCTTTTATACAACGATCCATGTTGGATGTGGGACCGGTCTCGTAAATCCCCTCATCAAGGTACAGTAGAATTTCCCCATCAAAGACAATTGCAAGAAGACAACTAACAAAACAATGAAAACCGGTCGGAAAGTTAAAACTCGTGTCAAAGTCGAGGCCTTTAGGCCCAGAGTCGACCTTTCATCGGTGGCAAAAGATAACTCCACATATTCGATGTTGTGAATAGCCTTTACAAGGGCCTCTTTTTTAATCGGCAGACCATTGGCATACGGATACAAGAGTAAAAAAATAAATTAAAAATAAGAACAGCAATAATCTTGAACTTTTGCAAAATGCACGACGGGATCCTCAAACTTTTTTTTTTACTAATTTTATGATTGCTCACACGGTCATTAATCTGTGCCATCCTGCATAGCTATTTCAGACTATATGATTAAAAACGATTCTTTATGCCACAAAAAATTCTATATTGATATACGCATATCACATCTACCGCAAATTAATTTTCGTGTCACAAAAAATCATAAATTGATACATTCGTGCCATGCTTATTCAAAATTAATTTTTCGTGTCACAAAAATCCTAAACCGGTACATTCTTGTGCTGCATTTACTGCAATTTCGCCCTAAGATTTTGGTATATTTGTCAAAGATGTACCGGCTTGAAATTTTTTGTAATGCGAAAATTAATTTGAAGTAAATGTGGCACAAATATATTAGTTGAGAATTTTTTAAGGTATTAGTCCTTCTTTCTATCAAAACATGGGAAAAGGTGGATCGCGATGAATGATAGAAGTAATTTACTGGTTGACAAGTGGATCATGATGAACCACCAATTAGATTTGTCATAAAACAAGAAGCCTTTCCTACTTCCTTTACTCGAACGGCATAGTGGATTCGATCAGCAGTTTGCCAACTTTGTCATTACCAAGTGACTAAAGCCTTTTGGGGAAAACAATAAAAATGTGACTGGCGCCGCCAGCCCTCAGTCCAAACAAAAAAAAAAGAAAAAAGAAAAAACACCAAAAAAATTATTAAAAATTTCAAAAAAATTATTGAAAAAATGTTAATGTCAGCGCCGGTTGTGCCACATATGACTATCAGCATCCACGTCAGCGATTTCCGACTTAAATTGACCAGATGGACTCAATTGGAATAACGTGAAAATATTTATGACTAAATTGGCACAATTGAAAGATTCGTGACTTTTTTGGTAATTTTCCACATTTTAATGTAAGTTTTTTTCTCGAACTACCTATTATAGTGTGCTTGCCATGATGTTTCCGCACCCAATACGTGTGTCGAAAGTTAACAAGTCTGAGTATTCAATGGTTATTCGTTAAAAAAAGGCAAAAGAGAAGAAAATTGAGGAAGAAAAGGAGAAAAATGATAAGAAAAAGAGGAAGAAATGGCAAAAGTGAGTAGCTGAATTCAAGTGCGACTTTAGTCCGAAAGAAAAAAAAACAAAATTGTAGTATGACTCTCCTTTATTTTTTATACTCTCTCTGCTCTCGCTCGCACACTTTGAAGGGACATATAATTTTTCCCCATCAAATTATGGCGATGTTCGACATAAGACGGCGGCTGGTGATAACTGGATTGTCAAGTCAGCGATTTCTGACATAAATTAGCCGGAAATACTACATTGAAATTTCGCACAAAAGTTTAGGACTAAATTGATAAAATTGAAAATGTTGGGATTGGATTGGCATCTGTACAATAGATTTAAAACTGATAGAGTAATTTTCCCCATCAAAACCAATAAGTTGTCTAATTTAAAAAATTGTAAAACCAATAGTACCAAGAACATTGGCCAAAAGTTAAAGAAAAGAAGTAAGATCATGAGTGTCATTTAATTAAACTTATTATTTTTCGTTCTTTATTAAAGTTCATAAAGTAATAGAAAGCAAATTATTAATGAGATTGCGCAAAAATAAGAAAGCATAAATTCTTCGATCTTAGAATTAAGCTTATTAAATCAAATATGTCTCATTTTATAGATGTAAAAGACACAATGAATCTATCTTATTTGGGAATAAGGATGCCGCAAGTGCCATAACTTTTGTATGACGCTCACTTGAGCGCCATAACTTTTTTTATCGACCATTTAACTGCCACAACTTCTAAAAAATGTTTACTTGAGTACCATAACCTTCAATCGATCACTTAAATGCCAAATTTTTTTAAAAACATCCACCCAAGTGCCGAAAATTCGACATGACGTAGCACTTGTGATGAGTATTTTTAAATATTTATAACAGTCAACTGATCGATTGAAAACTTATATGGCACTCAAGTGATCGAAAAGAAAGTTATGGCACTCAAGTGAGCACCGTATATAAGTTATAATCTCAAATGATGAAGAAAAAAGTTGTGACACTTAAGTGAGCGTCGTACGCAAGTTATGGCAATTGTGTTGTCTTTTTCCCATCTTATTTGATAAATGTAAAGTGGTGAACTAAAACACTTTCAATAGATGGCTCACATGCGGCGTTCATGAGTGACATTAATCTTCACTCTCTTTTGAAAATGTTTTCTTTTATTTTTTCCACTTTAAAAGAAATAAAATTGTTCCCTTTTAGTTGAAGGGCAATAATTTTTTTCAATATTACGAAAATCTCATATTCTCGTGATGATCAAGTATACTTCCAGAATAATTATTTCTCGTAATCTATTTCACAGGTCTTTTTCACATGCATAGCACGGGTCTAGAGATTAGTATAATGGTAATTTTATTATAGCGGAAACATAGCTGTTACGTTTGTTCTTTCTTTCTTTCTTTTCCCTTTGCTTTTAGATACATTATTAATGTCATGGCCAAAGAGGACGACAACAAAAACGTTAAACGATCCTCCTATGCATATTACGGGCTAACCAAGTTGCTGGTGCATAAATGATAATAAAATCACCTCATGTCGGTCGACTCCATTCAGCACCAAGATAGAACCGCCACCAGATAATTCCTAAAAGGCAACGACTAAGCACGCGCAGAGGAAGACTTCAAGAAAGCAACGGCTCAGCAATTTTCTAAGTCAAGGTCAATTAACCGGTTTATTTTATTACATCAATCATGTGAGTTCACTGTGATTACTTTTCAATAAAGAAGTAATAGTGGGCTAGTTGTTAATGTCACTAGGGAACGACTAAAGATTTGCTTTTAGTCAATTAACAATCAATTTTTTAGTAAAAAGTTGAAGGCATCTCCAGATTCCCATGTGAACGTTTGAAATATACGAAACATGGAGCGGTGGTACAAACTCGTCTGGTCTTGTTGACCTTGAATATTTAGATGGAATGAATGCTCCATCAAAATTAGAAAAAAATAATAATTATCTTGTTGAAGTTTGAGGTATTGCTAGATCCAAGTGCTTGGAAGAGTTGAGAATCGACTCATGTAATTGCATTGAAAAGCTGGATCTTTCTCAATTGAAACATTTGAAGAAAGTAAATGCTAGCTGTCGCCAAAATCTAGTTGAAATTCGTGGCCTTCATAGGTCAGAGTTCTTGAAAGAATTAGAAATATTCTAGTGCAAATCCATTAAAAGGCTAGACCTTTCATAAATTAATTATCTAAAGCAGTTGAAGGCAACTTCTTGCAAAAATCTTGCCGAAATCCGAGGCCATATGGGGTTCTTGGAAATGTTAAATGTGTCGTAATGCAAGTCCACTGAAGAGCTGGATCTTTCACATTTAGATCGTTTGAAGCTATTGAAGGCATGCTCTTGTGCAAATCTTGTTGGAATTCGAGGCCATTATAAGTCCGGGTCTTGGAATAGTTGGATATTTTCATGCATATCCATCAAAAGGCTAGAGATCCCACAAATCAACGGTACAAGGAGGTTGGCTATTGCAAATTGTGAAAACCTACTTGAAATCCAAGCAATTGTTAGATTGAAGTGGTCAAAAGTGTTGGATATCTCTTAGTGCAATTGTATTATTAGGCTGGATCTTTCATTGTTAGATTGTCTAAAGCAATTAAATGCTAAATAATGCGAAAATTTACTTGAAATTGAAGGCCTTGATAAACTGGAGTTCTTGAAAGTGTTAGATATCTCGTTGTCCAAGGCCCTTGAAAGGTTGGACCTATCACAATCAAAACGTCTCGAAGCAAGTGATGGTTTGAGAATGTGAAAGCCCATATGAAATTCAAGGCTTTGTAAGTTCAAGTTATCAGATATCTCTCGGTGCAAGTCCCCTGGACCTTCTTGAATTGACTCATTTGAAGCTATTTGGTGATCAACTAGTTGAAATTGGAGGCCGTGGTAATCATATAGAGGAAGCTGTTGGATGCTATAGGTTGTCATTATCTAGTCGCAATTTGATCCTGGTTCTTAGAAGAATTAGATATCTCTTGGTGCAAGTACGTTGAAAGGCCTGAACGAAGTTTATGAAGCTTTTGACTGCTACAAATTGCAAAATCTAGTTCATTATCATTCTCTAAGCCTGCATGAGAAGATTATTTAATTAAGAGATTCCATTTTCATTACTCGTTCATAAAGATGTGCTCTTCCATTTTCTTAGAGGTGACAAAATGGGTCTAGAACCAATATTTTAACCCATATTTGATGATGGAGGTCATAAATAGGTTGCAATAAGTTTTAAAAACATATTGAAATGTGTCATAATAAATGGGTCTTATAACTAACCCATTTCTAACCCATATGAAAAATAGAGAACAAACCTATTTCTAACCCATATCAAGTGGAGTTGGAGATGTCAAGCCAATTTTTATAATTTATTATTTTTTTACATTTTCTGTCACGCCCCGAACCCCAACGGGCTCGCGACACCCCTCGATGGTCAATCATTGAACGCGACGTCCCAAGACGCGTCGCCGACCCAAACGAAACACCCAACGATAAAGGCAAGCGGAAGCGAAATTAAGACAACCAAGACAATAAAATATGACAAAGGGATAGCACAAAACAATAATTCCAAATACACAACATCAAAAGGGAATAGTGGTGGGGTATCCTACTTCGCTATA